CTTTCTGCTCTTAGCAAAGTTATTTAAAGTCATTCAAGGCCGTGCAGATTGATTGATTTATGCAGAATATGCCCTTTTCCATCAGGTGGGGGTTTGTTTGGATTGTTGTGCAAGAACAGCCGCTTCAGACGAACTTCTGTGGTGTTTCTGGGAATGGTTGCCCATTTTGTTGCCTTCTATTTGATCTTTCTTAACATCCCTGATGATGCCCCCACTGTTTTTGAAACCACGTCCCTAAAGAAGCCATATCTAACCCCAAGGTATCCAGTTTTTATGATAATTTAGCATATAAGAAAAAACTGTTTGAGATTATGCTTTGATTTTATTTCTTCTTTTTCTTTCTCAGTGTATCCCTTGCCCTGCTGTGCAGCTTTTTGCTTGGACTCGGGGACAGCTGTTTCAACACACAGCTCTACAGCATATTAGGCCATGTTTATGCTGAAGAAAGCGCGCCGGCTTTCGCCATTTTTAAATTCATCCAGGTAATCCTGAGTTGCCAGTTCTCAGACGTTGTTAGCAGAGCAGACCAAAGCTGCTGCAAAATGTGTTCCTTCCAAGTGAAATAAATTCACCTGAAGTCACAGTACAAAGAAAAAAGGCAGATATGCTGTATATCTTACCTTCTTCCTTTTTCTTTGATTTTGAATTGAAAATTAAGCTCTAGAAATGAATGTATGCTTTATAAATATTCAAAAAAAATCTTTTTGATTTTGTCAAGGCGTGGAAAATACACCACAATGCAATGAACATAAACAAACTGAGAAATCTTGACATGGTTGACATGCCACCTAGTTGAAGTCCAACTCAGATTTTGCTGTTACTGGGAAATTGTTAACAGTAAATCTGAAAGTGGGATTCATGAGTTTGAAAGTAGTAGTATGTTTAGTATCTTATAAAGCTCTCTGAGTCTGCCCAGAAAAATGAAAACCACGTGTGATTTAAACACATCTGATCTCTTCTTCAACGCCATCTTCAGCGCTGCACTGCTTCCAGTGCTGCTGCTGTTTTTCATGCTCTCTGTAGGCCACACCACTCCCACATGTGCATTTCCACTTGAGAAACCTTCAGACTTTTATGGGGATCAGGATATAAACCCCAATCCAAGCTGACAGTGGAAAGCATGCAGAATCCAAACTTTAAGACGGAGCATTGGGTCAGCTCAGGAGCATGTTTATGGTTGATTTAGGTTCAGACTGTTTATGAGGATTTCTACGACAGTATAATATCCTGTGGTGTATGAGGGAGAGCATCATGTGAAAATGAACTGAATGGTGTGGTTTGCCTGTAATATCATGCACTGGCAGACAGCAAATTGAAAATACAGGAACCCTTTTGGCCACTTCACCATTATCGTCACTCACTACTGGCCACATTTTGCTCACTGTGGCTTTTTCCACTCCTCCTAAATAAAGCTTAAGTCGAAGGGTCATTGTTTGGATTGTTTAGAATGGTAATTATCTGAAAATAGCAGACATTATGGAAGTTGTGCTGTGCTACTCAAGGATATGACTTTGAGGGGGTGATTGGTGAAGCTGGAAAACTTTATATTTTTGTGTAATAATTTGTGCAACTTAGTTTATTAGATTTGTAAAAGCACTTTATCATGTTAATCAACAACATTAAATCTGTCTGTCCCTTGTTAGTCTGTCTGTGCAGCGGCTGCGTTCTTCTACAGCGGTTACATCATGCTGATGTGGCAGCTCCTGCTGATGGTCGTCCTGGGCTTCACTGGAACACTCTGCTTCTTCGTGGTGGAGAGGATGCAGAACTTCTCTGTAGATATACAGGAATTTTAGGATTCATCTCAGCATTAATGGCTTTCTGAAACTCATTTTCGGGATAAAATGAGGCCATCAGAAATCCTGTAATTTAAAAAAATCTCATTTCATGAAGCGCTTTTAAAAAATCTCTTTCTGTAATGAAGCACCGAGGGTCGTGCGCATTCGCATAGCATCGACACTAACGAGAGTTTGAATTGATGCCATAGCTGAAACCAAGCTGCCTTACAAGTCCACACTGTACTTTGCACAATCCTTTTTTCCTCTCACTCTACAAAGTGGTCATCGGACATCTTTAAAGTTATTTTTCTATTACTCTGTTGTACTGCATGCGGTCTTAATATGGAATTTTAATAACTTACCTTATCATCTGCTTTGCATTGCTTTGGAAGCTCGCGTTCATAATAACGGTGCCATTGTTGAAGTTAATTTATGAATCTAAAGCGTTACTGCAGGATGTTTAGTGCTGTTTATAATGACAAGAATAGATGACACTAATTAATGCTTGACAATCACTTCATTTTTTTTTTTACATTTTTGCATATTAATGTAAATGTTTTCACCAATTTTGCTGAATAAATTTTAAAACACTGGGGGGGCTCAAGTATAGACTGTGTTGTGTGGTCTACATGATTATTATAAATCATCATTTAAGTCAGCGGTGCAAATGTTAAAGTCAAGGCAAGTGGTAACAGCTGACAAAAGGTTTGATCTGTAGATAAACATTCATGTGCTCATGTGTATTAATTAAATTACATGTGACCTGTAAACAAGTTGAGAGCCTGCACTTTAATTTTTGGGTTGTTTTCTTTCATTCTTCATTCCAATTCACAAATTCTGGCTCTTAAAACAATGTGGCATTATTGAGCTATTTATATTACATATCTGAACAGAAATAATCTTGAGCTTTTTCCAAATCTGTGTTTTGGATTTATTGGGGTTTCAGCATTTTCTCACTAAAACCTGTCTATTGCCTACTGTAAATCAATTGGATCTAATCCTTATTTGCCAGATTTATTTGAAAATCAATTGCCATTAATCAAAAAGAAGGCGAAAGCGAGGTCTAAGTTTAAAGGAAAGGGTTACAGGCCCAGAGGTCCCACATTACTTCACTGGTAATTGAGTATTGATTACATTATAATGAGAGTAAGCAGTTTTGTGTGATCTTAAGTCAATTGTGCCACTTACTTGACAACAACAAAGCACTGAAGGGCTAAGTGAAGTGTACGGCATTTACTTACAGAATTAAATCCTGGCAGCGTTTATATTATTAAGTTTGGAGAGATAAGCTTGTGAGGAAAGTAACCAACTTTGGATAGGTCTATTACCTGAAATTTGCAGAAACCAGGCCAAACACTGGCATCTTTAATGCAGGAGGCATTATTTATTACGCCACCTTATCTACAGAAACAAAAAAGGGAAAGAGGCCTCATAGCTAAACTTGCATATTTTTTAAATGTTAAAACTACTTTTGCTTGGTTTTACCAACATTGCAATACTGCAGTGTAGGTTGGAAGAATTTAATTGACCCAGAGACAGACATTTTAAGTTTGGTGTGTGTTAACAATGCTACAATATTCCCAGGAGTAGACATCCCAGCAAATCTACCCCAAGGTCATATTGTGCAATGCTCAGGGAATCTGCAAAAAAATCCCAGAGCTACATCTCAGACTCTAAAGGCCTCAGTTATGTTGAATTTTAAAGTTCACAACAGTACAATTAGAAGAAGGCTGAACAAATGCGACCGAAAGGTTTGAAAACCCAAACACAGCACATCTGCACAAACACCTCAGACCAACTGTCAAACGTGGTGGTGTAGGGGTGAGGATTTGGGCTTGTTTTGCAGCCACAGTACCTGGGCACTTTGCAGTCATCGATTCATCCACGAATTCCTCTGTAGGCTGAAGTATTCTAGAGGCAAATGTGAAGCCATTTGTCTGACAGCTAAAGCTCGGCCAAAACTGGGTCATGTAACAGGACAATGATCCTACGCACAGGAGAAAATCTTCAACAAAAGAAAAGAATCACGGTGTTGCAATGACCCAGTTAAAGTTCAGGCTTCAACCTGATCGAAATGCTGTGGGGGGACCTCAAGAGAGCTGTGCATAAATCAATGCCCACAAGCCACCATGTTCAAAGGAATGTTTCACATGACTGTTTATGCTTTTTTTTTTTTGTTTGTTTTTTTTGGCAAAATCACTTTCGGAGTCAGACAGTATATAGCTTGTGTTTTCAGAAAAATATTTTAGCTTGTTGAGGCCACTGTATTGTTTTGAACTACAATTCCTTTGTATTTTTTACCCTCTTAAACTAAAGGAAAAAGTGTCTGTTATATATCCTTTCCTTGAGCTACAGCGCTTTATCAAAGCATTCCCCACAACTCTTCAAGTTCACCTGTCTGACACTGCCTTGATTTCCCAAAACGCCGCTACTTCTGACTCAATCCAGATCAAACACGCACATTAGGGCAGATCTGCTTAATTTTGTCACTTCCTCACATCATAGTTGTAATAACCAGGCTTGACTGAACAGGACCTACAGGATACACGACTGGCTTGTCAGAGGTCTGAAATCCGCTGCTCCCTTTGTTGTCAGGTTTTGCGTTTCTGGTGCCAAACAAGAGTTGTGCTGTCAAAGTACTTTACCAATGAGATGGCTTTAATTTCAAAGTCTGTGTATGCCCAGGGGATTAATTCATTTAATTTATTAATTTTCATGTGTGACCTGCTTGATTAGCTCAGACTGTCAGTTTAACCAGAGAGCCGTGTTTATTACCACATTTCTGTACCTGTAGCTCACTTGGTTATTAAATTTGAAGACTTGCCTCATTTCCATGAATTATGGAAATCACACATCTGAGAATATTTGTGGGAATAAGGTTTAGAACACAATTAAATAAGCCAATTTGAAAAGAGAAACATACCCTATCAAATTAGATGACTAACAACCCTCTGTAAATTATATGCAGAATGAAATGAGCAGAAACACTTTTAACTGCTCATTTGTTGTTTTCTGTGGCTGCCGGTCGCTTTCCACATAATAGATGTTGCAATCATCAGCAGCACAATTAAAGTAATCATTGAGCAATGTGTGTGTATAGTTCATGGATCAAAGGTTTTTGTAATCAGAGGTCGTCCTAATACTTTTATTAGCCTCACATTAGTTAAAAGCTCTCCAGTGACCTTCTTCAACGGCAGGAGAAATCAGGCTGAACTAGTTTCATTACACACATGCTATGTGGTTTTTTATTTGGAAACTGCAATCACGACCACCAGAAGCTGACAGAAAAGCTGAGCTCTAAGGAGCGGACGTAGTGCCAGTGTCGGACAGGGATGAAAAGAACGTCTCCAGGCTGTAACACGCATTCGAGATACGGAGCTTTGGCAAACTCCGGGAAGCGCTCGGCATCTGGATTTTCCACCTGCACCTACACGGAAGAAGTCAGAAATTGGAAATACTGCATACATTTGCACGTCCAACATGTGCTATCTCCATGGACTGTCAATCCTACCTGACTGGTATTGTGAAGCAGCTGTGATTGATGAGGGTACAGCTTGCCTGTGTCCTCGGGGGAATATAGGCGAATGTATTTGCTTCCCACTACCTGTATATACAGAAGGAATCCCGTGTGGTAAGGAAACTGTTATCACATGATCAACCTTTGACATTAATTTAATTCATAAAGCATTACAGTTAACAGCACCTGCGCCAGAAAGTTCTGTTGAGGATCTTGGTGAAGAGGAGAGACTGTACCCCCGGGACCGAACCACGCATTCACAGTAATATCCTCTTCGTCGCCTTCACCAAGACAGCAATAATCAGGGAGGCGGATATCATCCTTGAGCTCTGGTATCTAAGGTATAATCAAACAGTAATAGGGCATTTAAGACTAATTTTACTTACTAAATAGTATCTTTTTTTCTCATGAGAACTTTGCCAACATTTCCTGGCAAGTAAAAAGAATTGCTAATTATTTTTCCACCTTCTGCCATGCAAACTAAAAAAAAATACATGACTTCTTTTTGTCAGTATATCCACCATAGTTCTCCAACTGAAAAATATTCATAAATACTCGATGGATTTCCATGAAAACTGGCACAGATATTCTGCCATAAGGTTGGTTTTTACTTACTATTTTACTTAACTATTACTGATGAGCTCCCGTACAGCCTCAGAGAGCCACCCGAATGTCTGCAAACAGTCTAATTAATGTCTGTTTATTTATTGGAATTTTCAGTCTCATTACAGCCCAGAGATATTTATCAGCCTGATAAATATCAGTCACAGATTGGCCTCCCCAAAGCCTGGACCTCAATATTACTGAAACAGTGTAGGATCATCCTAACGGGGAATTAAACAAAAGGCAGCCGACATCCAAAGAAGAGCCTTGAACGTCCTTAAGAAGCCTGGAGAACTGTTCATGAAGACTACTTAAAGGAATTACGAGAAAGCTTGCCTAAGACCGTTCACACTGTGCCACATATTCACTTTCAAGCTCATCAGAATTGTATAATCTCGGTTTTTGCCTTTTTCCTTGTATTCCCATGTATGTTTGCAGGTGTTTCAACAAATCACTGCACAGACTTTATATTTTCCAAGTGATATATAAAGAAATCAAAGCTTTTGCACATCAAAAATAAATGTTTCATTTAGAAACATGGCACTATAAAATCCCCAAGAAATGTAAAAAAAAATATAGATGCTGTGTGAAAATCGGTCTAAATGGTGACTCTGTGGCTGGGATCCTTCTAATCTAATCATAGAGTCCACAAATTTGATCTTATCCAGCCCTGATGTTGAAATTACTGCTAAAAATACCACTAATGTTAAAAGCAATCTTGTGTTAGTATGACAGCTAGAAAAAGAATCCCTTTCTTTATAGTGCTGAAAATGTCATTTTTAAAGAAGACAAAATTATTCACTACAATTATTTTGGTGTTTCAAAACTAAAATTCTGAACTCTACCTGGTCAAAAAGCTGGTGCTGAGCCAAATAACCCAAAGCTTTCACTCCATCCTGTTCAATGTTGATACACAAAACAAACAACAAAAGCCCAGATATCATGTTAGAAATCCCAAGGTCTTCTCTTTCTCTCATTCACATAAATCGGCAGTCCCCAACCTCCGGGCCACAGACCGGTACCGGGCTGCGAGGGTTGCGTCTTGGGTGTGAAATTTATGGTTTCCAGGGTTTTTATTGTTTACTCTGTTTCCCTGGGTCTTTTTCCTGTGTTGTAGTTGTGCGTCTTATTTTGAAAGAAATATTTACGTGTTACCATAGCGACCAGAGAGCATTAAGAGGGGAGGGTGTTACTCTCAATGTTGTTGGCGCATTTCTGGAGGACGCTGCTAATAAAGTTACACAATTACACAGTGAATTTGCGTTTAGTGT